TGTAAATAGGATCACAAGTCTGCATCTTGTACAGCAATTAACCACTAAGAAGAATATATGCAGTGTATTATTTGTTGAAACTACTTCTGATTTGATTTGAAACTGTCTCATTGCTGTTTATCAATAAAACTTTGAAAAAAAATAAAATTGAAAAACAATTATATTTTTGCATAAGCAGGGAGAAAGAGGACTGAAGGGTAGTAGATAGTGAGGAAAGGAATAGCAGAGAACCACAAGCTACTTCAGTCACAAAGAGTTTATATTTTAAAAGTAAACCTGAAGTCTGAGGCAGGAGGATTTCTGCATCTGAAGCCAGCCTAGGCTACATTGTGAGTTCAAAACCCAGATAAACTACATATTCAGACTCTGTCTCAAAAAAACTAAAAAAAAAGGAATAAAAAAGTAAACAATTTCAGCACTCGGGAGGCTGAGGTAGGAGGATTCTTGGGCTACAAAGTTAACTCAAGGCCAACCTGAACTGCAGCTCGAGACCCTGTCTCAAAAAAAGACCATAAAAGATAAACTTGAGTAGTACGGTGTATAAGTGGAGTAACAACCATGTAACCTGTAGGCTATAATTAAAATCATATCTGGTTTTAGACTCTATGACTGAGGCACATGGGAAAATATTGGAAAGATTTCAGAAAAATAAAAGGGTTAAAACATGATCCAAATGAAGAAAAATTAGAACTGTTATTGTATCTGAGATATTTTCTGAGTATGAAGTCCAATTTAGTGACCAGCTAGTCTGCATTTCCACAGCAGAAAGTCATTTTACTTAAGTCATTACAGCATGTATTCCAACACAGAGGTGTCTTACCTAGAATACCTATCCAACAAAAACTCCAGAGAACTGTAAATGTTATTCACCTCTTCCACCTTGCTAGCTCAACTCCATCTCAGAGAGTGGGCCAAATGGTAGATAAGGCATCTTGCAATGTGAAGATTTAGGCTCCTTTTAGGCCTACCTATGTTGAAAACTTGTTGTTGGCCTCTGTCTCCCAGATCCTAGTGTAAGGTTGAACCCTTTCTGTGCTATGGAGAAAGGAGACTCAAAAGTAGTTAACACCCAGAAACATGGGTAAAGTTCAACTTCTTAGAAAACTATGCTTTACTTCAGTGTGCATGAGTCAGAGGGTTTCGATTTAAGGTTACTGCAGGACCTGGTCACCATGCTAAAATCACCAATTTAATTCCAAAGAGAGAGAATTTACCTGACTTGATATTTAAAATGGAAAAAACAGAAAAACAATACTGGACAGTTAACTAGATGTGCCTGAACCTGTCATCTTACTTTGTCTCCGACATTTTGCCTTATACACTAAAAATCTCAATTAAAGTCTAAGGCCCATGAAGAAATAAATCTAACTGTATTTTACTTGTACCACAACCACACCATCCTACTCCCAACCCAGCTTTTGACAAAGGACTGGGCAAACAGAATACAATTAACACTTTTTAAATGAATGTCACGGGTTTCGTTAATACTTTATTTTATAGCAGCTTTCTCTAGTTACTTACCAATTCGTTCTCTAGTACTGCTGCCTATAAAGGTTACATCTCTTTATTCTTCTATCAAACACAAATGCCTATTCTTCCTCATCCCCTCAGACATTTTTAGTCATTTTGTTCTCCAATCACCAAAAATCTCTTAACTTTCTTAACTCAGCTCCCACGCCTCTACTTAGAGCCAAACTGTGAAGTTACCTAGCTACCTTAATTCATCATGGTTTGAACACATTATTTTCTATACCTTTCCATGCTACATTAAAACTAACTTAATTTTCCAAATTACAAGACTACTACCAAACCTCATTTCAACCCTTCCCAGAACTCACCCTGTAGGAAATTATTTGAGAATGCATTGGTCAAATGAAAATATCCACCCACCAAAAGTTCTCATAGTTCACCCACCTTTCTCCCTTAATCATATCTACAGTATTTGAAAAATAATAAAGTATCAATTGAAGTTAAAAGCCTATGAAATAGTGTTTGTTGGTGGTATGTGGGCATGCCAGAGGATGAGCATATGCCTATGTATGCTTACATACATACATTACATACACATACACACATATGTAAATATATTCTACCCCACAAATGCACAAGTTTAAAAATCAAATCTGCCAAATCTGACCCAAACTACAGATATTATATATACGGATACTTTCTACAAACAGGTACATTATTTCTGTAACAAAGTCAGTTGCAAGCTGTAAGAAAGGATAGGTAAATATTGCTATGGTCAATTAAGACTCTCTTTTTTAATTTATAAGCAGAGTTTATCACAAAATTTACAATTTGAGGAACAAAATGGAGCTAGGGATTTAGCTTGGGGGCACAGCACCTGCCTGGTGAGTGTGGGGTCCTGAGTTTCAGTCCTGGTATTCCCCAAAAAAGAAAGAAAACAAAGGCTTGCTTCACAGTGGTTTAATATGAACAGATTTGAATATGACATTTCCTGACAGAAAAATGAACAGTTTGCTGAATAAAAGCCCCGAATCAGGATATATACACAGCAGAAATGGGGCCTCAGACTCTCAGCATTTGTGCACAATGAAAGAAATCTTCAAAAAAAAGTTACAAAGGATACAAATCAAAAAGGCAGCAACAATACCAACATTGGTGAGTGAGAAAGGGAGCTCAGCAGCTACAGAGTTCATCTGTCTCAACATTTAGATGGGCTCTACTCAGCAAAATCTAATCTTAAGCTCTCTGACCAGGGTCATATCAGAATCAACAGTCCTTTCCCCAAGCCCTTCATGACAGAGATCTACGTAAAGGGCCCCAACTTTCACTGGGTACCAGTTAACTTGGTCTCATCCTACCACTTGGGAGAGACAGTGAACCCCAGCCAAAAAAAAAAAAACCTCCCTTCCAGATAAAAGCTCAGGACAGCTGTCAGCCATAAGAAGTTACTTTAGACTAAAATTTAGGAAATCCATACCCAGCTGCTAGCCCTGGTGAGAATGCTGGGGTCTCAGGAGAAACAAGTGCAGGCAGTTCAATAACCCTGTGACCAGGTTGGGTAGAGCAGTGACAACCCTTGCCCCTGAGCCCCATTCAACAGCTCAAAGTGCTTAGGAGAAATCAGAGAAAGTGTGGTTTGTTTGTGTGCTTCGGCCCTGAGGCAGCACTAAATGGGATGGCGAAGGGATAATGAAAGAAAATGGTGATGTTCTTCCCTACAATCTAGAGGAACCTACAATATGCCCAACTGCCACCATTCAAGGAGTCACTTGGCAGTGGTGAGTGGTCCCCACCCCTTCAGCCAACAAACCTGCAAAACTAACTCATGAAGTAGCAAAGGCTTAGGGCAGGAGAACTGCTGGCTCATACTGATCCACTTGCTAGTAAGCAAAAATAGGCAGCCAGAGTAGGGAGCCACAGAGAAAGGGCTAAGCAACAGAGCTCCTCTTACTCCCTATAGCTTTCTCCTGACTCTGTTGCAGTCATGAAGATGGGCTCAGAAAACCCACACTTTGCTCTACACAATAGATTGCTTAGACTCTAGGATTACTGCCATAGAAAGCAACGAGACAAAAGCAATAAAAAAAACAATAAAAGAAACTGCTGAGAAAACTGGGAGCGGGCCTTGAGAAAAGATGGAGAGCTTCTAGATCTCTACCACTTCCCAAAAAAAAAAAGAAAAAGTTCATGCAGGTAGGAAGGGCAGGGTTTTCCCTGCTCAGTGTTCCTGGTTAAACCTAAGAAGAAAAATCCCCTGGACTTGCAGCATCGGTATGTATCCAAGTGTCACCAGCATGACCCCCCACACACAAGATTTTCCTTGGCATGGGTAAATGCCCTAGAAATTGCCTTCCAGTCCAACCCCCCACCCACCCACCCACCCCCAAGCAAAGGGCATCTGCCTGTGATTTCCCACTTCTCAGAGAAGATCCTTGCAGAATGCCACAAGGTGTAGTCAGGAGGTACCAAGGGTACAGTGGCAGACAGTCTATCAGGCCAGGGGATGGGCAGCCAACTTCAGATCAAAGAGAGAGGCTTAGTGTAAAAACCAATGTCATCTCAGCAGGAAAGTAGAGGGCAGGTGGTGTGAGGGGCTCCTATTGGCGCACCTTCCCAGGGACGTAGTTCCTGTCAATTGCCTCTTCCTGCAGGAACATGTGTAGGCAGCGTTCATTCTGAGCCAATGGGTGCCCTGCAATTCTACAAAGAGACCAAAACGGTAATCAGTAGTGTTGGGGATCACAGAGAATTAACAGAGGGAGTGGAGTGTAGACAGGAGAGGAAGGACAAGGTCAGCCTTAACATTTGCACCAATGGAGAAAAACAGTAGGGTACCACCTCAACCTTAATGTTGTAGAGGGAAAGGGAGACAGAAGGCAAGGCAGGGAAATCTCAAGATGCAATCATTAATATACAGTGTTCTTTTAGGTCCCCATATACAGGATCAGAATTCTGTTCAAAGGAACAGAGTTTGACTGCAGTTATCCCACTAAACAATCAACACATCACATAGCACCCCTTACGAAAAAAGACAAGGTTGGACAAAGCATACAGAAAGGCAAAAGTAGCTCCCAAGAACTTGGCTTGGCTTACTTGTTAATAAACTGTTCGAGGCCCTGCCTCCTTTCTTCAATGAAAGATTCTTCAAAGATCCCTTCATCTCCTCGAAAAGGGAGCTGCCGCTTCAAGGCTTTTCCAGGCAGTGGTGGTACTACAATCTGCAGGAAGATGCAATATATCAGCCCAGTGGGAGAAGGAAGGAGAAGGAAAGAGAGGGAGTAAAATCGTACCCATTTCATACTAAGCATATGATCCATCCTGCCTCAAGGCCAGTAATCTGCAAAAACTAAAACCAGGTGGGTGTGATGGCACATGCCTGTAATCCCAGCACTGGAAGAGGGACTGAGGCAAGAGGACTGCAGAGAGTTCAAGCCTGGTTGGGCTATATATTGAGTTCAAGGCTACCCTGGACTATAGAGTCAGATTTTTTTTTTTTTTTTTTTTTTTTTTTTGGAACCGGGGATCAAACTCAGGCCCTTGAGCTTGCCAGGGAAGCGCTTATTCCACTGAGCCATCTCCCCGGCTATAGAGTCAGATCTTGTCTAAAACAAAACAAAACATTTGACGCCATAACAGTCAGGATGACTCAGATTGATTCACTTTCTGTTATGGGTAGGCAAATTTACTATTTCAAAAGAATGGGAAAGAATTCCAAGTAATCCTTACTTTCATTAACAATCCACCACCACTCAAGAACTTAGCTAAGTCTTTCTTAGCATTATAGCTTCCATTTCTACCACCTATAACAGTTAAGTTTTATGATTTTACTAGCCACTAAATGAAATAATACTTCTTTAAAAAATGCTCTATAACCACACCAGCATTTGCTATTTATGCTAGTGAGGTTATGAGAGAAAATGAACTCCTCTATGTTGTTAGTGTGAATGTAAACTAGTACAACCACTATGGAAGTATGAAGACTCCTCAAAAAACAAAAAACAAACTAAGGCTGGGGAGATGGCTCAGTAGAATAAGTGCTTGCCTGGCAAGCACAAGGGCCTGAGTTCAGTTCCCGGTTCTGCAAAAAAAAAAAAAAAAAAAGTGAGATGAACTCAAAGCTTTACAAAAAAAACTAAGATCTGGGTGTGGTGGCCCACAACTGTAATCCCAGCACTTGGGAGGCTGAGGCAGGAGGATCAGTGTGACTTTGAGACCAGCCTGGGCTACAAAGTGAGCTCAAGGCCAGCCTGAACTGCACAGTGAAAACCTGTCTCAAAAAGACCAAAAGAAAAACTAAAAAAAAAAAAAAACCCTGAAACTGTTTCAGTGATATTTTATTTTCTTATTAAAATGAATAAAATATTTTTTAAAACCCTAAAAATAGAAATTCTATTCAAACCAGCTACACCTCTTTCCTAAAAGCTAAAAATCACCATATTAAAAGGATGCATTCATAGCTATGTTTATAGTAGTACAATTGACAATAGCTAAATCATGGAAGTGGCTCATATATCCATCAACAGATAAATAAATTTTTAAAATGTGGTATTAAAAAATGCAGTACATACACACACACACACACACACACACACACACACACACATACATACACAGTGGAGTACTATTCACTCATAAAAAGGATAAAATTCATTCATTATGGGAAAATGTATAGCTCTTGAGACCGTAATGCTAAGGCAAATAAATCAGACACAGAATGTCAAACATCAGGTGGTTTCTCTAGTATAACAAACCTAAAATACAAATAATTTAAAGAGCAAAATAAGGGCCGGTCAGATAGCTCAGTGGACGAAAGTGCCTGCTTAGGCAGAGTGCAGCAGCTGGGGTTCCATCCCTGGTGTGCCAGGGAGGCATGCTGAGATGGCCACTGAGAGTGGGTGTGGTGGTGAGCGCCTGTAATCCCAGCACTAGGGAGGCTGAAAATAGGAGAATCGCTATGAGTCCAATCTACATAGTGAGACCCTGTACTAAATACATAAAAAAGAGCAAAATAAGAGAGACTGAGCTGGCATGGTGGCACACACTTGTAATTAAAGCACTCGAGAGGCTGAAGCATGAGGATTGCCACAAGTTTGAGGCCATCCTGGCCTCATAGGGAGTTCAAGGCCAGCCTGAACCACATAGCAAGAGTCTGTCTCAAAATATCAGTGATTGATTGGTTGTAGAAAACAGGAAGGTAAACTCTACAAAGATGGGAAGGGGGCCTCGAGAAGGGTTCAGAGGGAGAAAGGGGTAGTAAAAATAATCAAGAAAGGTTATATATGTGTACCATTTCCCCAAAATGAATGTGAGTATGCATCACAAATATATACTAATAAAACTGTCCTAAACTTACCTCTTTTAAGTTTCAAATGATATTCCCAGGTTCAAAATCTTGGTAGATAAGAGTTTGTTCATTTCCTATCAAGACTTTACAGAACATGATCTTACACCTTCTCAAGCTATATAGATATCTTTTTCCAAGGTTGCCAAGGGATGAGACATACCTTACTATCTCGCTCCAACTCATTTTTCAGCCATTCAAAATCACTGTAGCGCCTCCGTACACAGGACTCTTTCAGCTTGAAGATAGGTAGGTTTGTCTACATGAAAGGAAGAATGAAAGAAAGGTGGTGTGGTCACTGGCTACATGTCACAACCACTGGGCAGGTTCAACAGCTCTTATGAACCATGTACCTATAACCCTTTCAAAACACCACCAAGTAACTACAAGCCATTACCATATCCAACCATGTCACAGTTGGGGCTGGGGATGTAGTTCAGTTATGCAGTACTTGCCTAGCATGTACAAGGCCTGGAGTTCCATTTCTAACAATGCAAAATAAAAAGTTCCTTGTTGCTTCAATTTTAACCCATAAATAGACCTAAAGCTATATGCAAATATACTCACTTTTAACTATAATGTCCATCAATAGGAAATTGGCTAAATGTATTATGTTATACCTGTATAGTGGGACACTATACAACTAAGAAAAGAATGTGGAAGATCTGTATGTGCCAATATGGAAAGATATTAACTTGTAATATAATATTGTTTATTGTATGATTTATTACATGCATATATTACATTTGCCATTAAAAACTGAGGAGTCCCAGCCCAGGCGCAGTGTGGGCCGGACCCTCTCCAACCCCCTCGGGCCACCCCCCACCACTCTGCCGTGCCTCCCCACCCCTCCC